TTTTTTTTGTTAATTTCTTGAAATGTTAATTTTATTAAATCACTACATAGTATAAAACAAAGTCGCTTTCCCGCTGTCTGTCCCTATGTATGCTTAAATCTACGCAACGGATTTTGATGCAGTTTTTTTTTAAAGATAGAGTGATTCTTTTCGATAATAATCTAAACAAAACAAAAATATATTTAGTATCAGCATTGCACCCGTGCGAAGCTGCGGAGGGTCACTTGTAATTTAAATAGAAATAAAACTAATTTCGGAACTGCTGTTTTAATTCAATAATGTTAGATGTAAAAATTGCAAAACATGTGACGTCACACTAGGAAGGGGGGGGAGTCTCACAAATGTGATCAGCTGTGACAAGGACGGGGGAGGGGTCAAAAAATCATGAAATTCGTGTGACGTAATTTATAGCTGGCCCCTAAGACATTATACAGTTCGTGGCAAAAAAAAACATTACAACAATGCGTGCATAATTTCAATATAAACCATAAATAATATAATAAAAATAGTAATAATAGAGCAGATATAACATTAACAAAATATATTCTTGTTCAATTATATATATAGAAAAACACAAAATTGTAAATGAATGGTCAAAGACCATAACCAGATCGAGGGTTACTGCTTTACCTAAACATTCAGAACCAGTAAGCAACATGAGAGAATGTTTAAAAATAACAGTAACATATTTACGAACAAATGTATAACACTTAACTAGTAGAAGTAAGTAAAATTTTTTTCACTCTAAAGATGGTTAAATAAACCGAAACGTTACAAAAAACATATAGTTGTGTAATTATTTGACTGGAAAAAACTACATAATGCGAGAAATCCAAGTTTACGTGGAATACTCACATTTGGGCGCCATAGTTGAAGTATGGTACTTGTGTTTTGGGTACTACATGGCATATCAATGTTAATAAACTAAGGTTAATAGACGTGATTCCCATTTTTTTATAATATACGATAATTAAGAAAAGGTTAGATCTTGTTACGCGTATAGTTGTACAAAACCATATATTAAAAATTCTTCGGTATTACTTCATACCTAACCGTTCAATTAATAAATTTAAAAATATTGTATTAAAGTTTCTTGCAAATCCATAAATGTGACTTCTGTTTTTATGCAGATCCCAAAATATTCTAACAAACTATCTTTTTAATAACCGCATACTAATCGACCACAAAAATCGATTAAAATAAAATTCTGAGAACCAAAGTCGACGGTTGCTTCGTCCAGGATCTGTAGATACCTCCCAGAATACCAACACATGTTCATATACAAGAATGTATAGTTGAATTTGTCTAATAGTAATCAACGACTGGAACATAAAGAACTGTAGATCATGTATACACTATTCACTTCACTATATTAAAATAATTTCTACAACCTTTAAAACTATTAATATATATTAAATCTCAGATTTCCTGAATGGTAATATGTAATAGTAATTCCTTTACTTCACTCAACAAGCCTTTCTGTAAAAAATATGCATCTACGAGAATAGAACAATTTGTGTAGGGTTTTCAATACATTAAAGTGAATTAATTTTTGAATCAATTTTTATCACAACAGATAACCTCAAATCAATGAGAAATTTTTTTTGTTGCTGTCACGCCCTCGCCGGGAATTGAATTCGAGTCCCTGACTACGAATCATTACTCTGTCATTACTCTACCACTAAGCTAAGAGAAGTAACCACGACCGCGGCAATAACAACAATCTTGCCAACCTACATAAGTTTGCAGTAATGTGTAGTGGTAAAAATTAATTCACTTTAAATGAATATACGTATCTCTTCACTAATAAATCTTCTTTAATCAGTTCCATTATTATACTTTGAACTATAATAGGACTTTAACAATAAAAAAAGTTTTAAATTCACTTTCGAGAAATGTCAAAATGTTTGTGTTTAACAATTTTAATTTAATTCACTGCCTGGATCCTGAAATTGTGTATAATTATGTACAAATGTATGCTAAATATTATAAGTACTTTATTATAATATGTATTTATCATAAGCCAAGGCTAACATTCTTTCCTGCTGCTATTTCTTTAATTATTTCGTAAACTCTCTGTCGCTTACTGCTTTTTAAATGGTACCAAAATCTTTTGCCTCTCGAAGTAATATAGGTTGCCTACCCATATTAGCTGGGGTACCTTTTATCCAGAAAAAACGATCTTTCACATGTATTTAGGACGCCCAATTTTAAAAAAAATGTAGGCTTACAAACTTTTTATTCAGTTTACATTTGTATGTATAAATAAGTGTTCATGTTTATTTCGTTAAAATCTGGCAAGTGAAATTTAAATTCGACTTATATTATTTAGGTTAAATAAACATACATACCTACAATATGGAATGGATATGGGCGAGGAAAATAAAATACGAATCGATCGACAAAAAAAATTAGATAAAATAAATCAAAGATAATTTTTTTATTTTTGTAGCGTGTTATGTATTTTCGTGCCTTCAATTTATTAAATTCCTCAGTAACTTCTGCAAAATCGATTTCTTTTGAAATTTTTCTNTTATTAGTTACTCTATTTCACACATATGGGTACTTATAGGAAATTAGCTTTTACCTTTTATTGCAGGAGTATATTTCTTACAGATAACAATAATCAATAAAACCACAGTATTCGAACAAACAAAAACAACGAAATTTGTAATTTTACTGTTAGTTTTAAGTCTTGGTAAATCCGTATCTATTTCATTCTTTTCTTGTTTTCTGTCGTTTATTAGGTCTATTGTATTATTAGGAACTTACTGCAATATTGCCAAAATGTCTGCGAAAGGACTGAAGCGCCCTCATTATCACGTGGCGTTTTGTATGAGTGGCAAATTTTATATACCTATCGAGGTAAAAAAATATTTTTATGACGAATGCATTTCGACTCGAAACGGCGCTTCATATCTCGTAGGCACCATTTAAAGGTGTACCTTTAATATTGTCGTAAGCAGCTTTTTCAAGCATTGAGAGTAGTTACGTATTTACAATATATACAACATAGCAAACATAGCTGTTGGAATAGTGTTAAATCTTTCTGTAAACTTAAATATTTTGTTTTTATTAAATAATTATAAATACCAATGAATAAATGTAATTAAATTTTATCTTTCAGTAAATATAGTATATATAACTACTTCAGGAGCATTGGCCCATTAGCTATGGATATGGGCGAGGAAAATAAAATACGAATCGATCGACAAAAAAAATTAGATAAAATAAATCAAAGATAGTAGTTTTATTATTTGCAGCGTGTTTTCGTGTCTTCAATTTACTGAGCTCCTCAATAACTTCTGTGAAATCAATTTCTTTTGAAATTTTTGTTTCTATTGAAAGCATGGCTAGATTAACCAATCGCTCTTTATCCATTGTATTTCGAAGATAATTTTTAATTAGTTTAAGTTTAGAAAAATTCCTCTCGCATGATGCAACCAAGATGCAAATGGTTAAGAAGTATTGAAGTATAAGCGATATACAGGGTAACGATTCACTAAAGTTTCATTTTATTATACATTGAAGGATTTCTTGGGCTCTCCATTTGGCAGCAACGTCCATACTCGTATCGGTGGCTTTTACATTCCTGCGGCACCTTTTTATTTCTTGGGAAACTTGCTTCTTGTCAAATTCACTATAAATTTGTATCAGATTGTCAACTGCTACCGCCAGAGCGTCATCTGAAGCTTCTAACATAATAATAATTTAGAAAATATTATTGATTTGTTTCATGGCTTCGTCATTAGTTGATTCAC